GCAATTTTCTGAAGTTTAAGCAGCATCAGAGAAATCTAGTTCCTTCTCCTCCTGCAGAACATAAGATTGAACCTTGGGAGTGCTGAGCTACATTTTCATCTCTTTGGTAGTCCAAGCTGACAAACCTTTGGATTTGGGTTCAACTCAAACCCTTTTGCTTCAGGACCCTAAGCAGGTGGGAATACAGACATATATCTCCATGCCTGGCCTCTCAGCTTAATATTGACTTATATTTTAGTATCAAGTAGAACATTAAATATTAAAAAAACCTAACACTGTAATTTTCATTTTGATGAGAAAGATACATTGACATGTTTCCAATTTCAAGAGGATCCAGTGGAAAAGTCTCCATATCTTTTCTTTTAGTTTCTCAGATGTCCTTCCCAGAGACAAACAAGTTGTATCTTTTTCTCTCTCTCTCTTTTTTTTTTTTTGGTCTTTTTCATTTTTATCGGTACCAGGGATCGAACTCATGACTGCACACTTGCAAGGCAGGCGCTTATGCTGCTGAGCTAAATCCCCAGCCCCATTCTAGCCTTTTCTTATTATCTTTCCAGAGATACACTAATATATCCCTTCCCCCACTTATTTTCTACATACATAGCAGCACCCTATATACATTTTTAAATCTTTTCTTTTTTTTTTTTTTTGTCTTTTTCGTTTTTATCGGTACCAGGGATCGAACTCACGACTGCCTGCTTACAAGGCAGGCGCTTATGCCACTGAGCTAAATCCCCAGCCCCTAAATCTTGCTTTTTTCTATTTTACATAGAATAAATGTGTGTGTGTGTGTGTGTTGACAGCTGCACAGTATTTCATGTGGATTAAACATAACTTGACCAAATTCCTTTCTAAAGGACATTTAGGTTTTCAGTGATGAAATGAATACTAATCTATAGCTACTGAGTAAAACTCTAGAAGTAGAATTGTGGGCTGTACGTCTGTAATATTGACAGTGCTTCCTAACTGCTCTTCCTACAGTTCGAACCAACTTACCCTTCATAGTCTGAACATGCCCTTTGTTTCTTTCTTCTCACACCCTTCATGCTGTTAGTACTATTAAAGCTTCCTGACCTCTGTTGATCTGTTAGCTAGAAAACAAGATTTTCCTTCCCATAACTTTTAGTTTTACTCCTGTCACAGACCTTGAGAAGGGATATAGTACTAATAGGTATGAAAACAAGATGACAATAAATCTGAGAAGATTCAAAGGCAACTTCTATAATAAACAAACAAAAACACACTCTCCTCCACTCCCAGGACAAAGTAAGATATAATTCAGTCTAAAATGCACGAAGAGTTAAAACGGGCCCAGAAAAACGCATACATGTTAAATGTATGATGTTATCCTGAGAAAGTAGGATAAGTTTCTCTTTGTTTCCCTTGAGTTTTATCTTTTACCTTTTTAAAATTTGAATGACTACTACAATTGAGTAGTCATATGCAGAAGAATGAAGGTGGACCCTTATCTCAAAAATCAGGAATTTTTACATATATAGTCAGCCTTACCATAATGCTTATTTTGAAGTTTCATATTTGTTCCAATTTCATATATACAGGAGCAATATGAGCAATTTCACCTATGTGAAACACTAATTGTAAATTCCAAAAATTGCACCCAGCTATAACATAAGGCCCTGGAATACAGAAAACATATAGTGTACCCCTCAAACATCTAACATAGTCATAATGTGTGGCACAGGCATAACATATAGGTCAATGGAAAAGAACTGAGAGTCCACAAATAAAACCATTGGTTTAAAATCGACTGATTTCTGACAAAGGTACCAAGACGATTCAATGAGGAAAACAACCACAACTGGTATTAGAACAGTTGAGTAGTCATATGCCAAAGGATGAAGGTGGATCCTTACTTCAAAACATTTACAGTAACTCACAGAAAATGAATCAAAGACCTGAAGGTAAGAGCTAAACTTACAAACTTCTTAGAAGAAAACAGAAATAACTTTCATGATCTTGGATTTAGTAATGAATTTCTAAATGCAGAGCAACAAAAGAAAAAAATAAATAAATTGGATTTCAAAATTAAAACATTTTGTTTTAAAGGTCACTACCAAGAAAGTGAAAAGATAACCTATAGAGTGAAAGAAAATATTTGCAAACCATGGGTCTGATAAAAGAGCTATAGCTAACATATAAGCACTCCTATAACGCAATAATAAAAAGAAATAGCCCAATTAAAAATAAGCAAAAAAATTAAAAAAAAGCAAAAAAGAGAGACATTTCTCCAATGCAAATGTACGATGCCAATAAATACATAAAAGATTGTGGACATTAGTCAGCAGGGAAATACTAATAAAAAACATGATGAGATGAAATTTCACACCCAGGAAGACAGTGAAAACCCAAAAATTAGATTAAAAGCATTGTTAAAGATGTAGAGGAAGCAGAATTCTCCAGATGTTATAGCAATGGTGCAGCCACCCTGGATTAAACACGGAGTTACCATATGACCCACCCTAGAACTATTCCCAAAAGAAATAAAAATATATGTCTAAACAGAGACCTGCACATAAATGTTTATAGCAACTTACTCATAAGAACAGAAAGGTAAAGTCCAAATGTCCTCCAACTGATAAATGGATAAGTAAAATATGGCACAAAATGGAATGTTATTCAGTCATAAAAAGAACATACACTATAACATGAATGAGCCTTGAAAACATTACAATAAGTGAAAGAAATCAGTCATAAAGCCGATACGTTGTATGATTCCAAATATATGCAATGTCCAGGATAGGTAACCCCATAGCAACTTGAGAGTTGGAGGGGAAAGTAGATAAGGAAGTGATACCCTAAACGAGTGGTGGTAAACGTATGGCAAGGGTGTTATTTGCTTTTCTTTGAAGACAAAAGAGGTGAATGTATGAGATGTTTTTCCTAAGCCCAGTATTTAGGTTTAATTGTGATGTTGGCACTTTACAATGAATAAGTGAGTTTTAAGTTGCAGTATGGGCACTCATCTCTAAAACGTTTGCCATTACTGACCTAAAGGATACAGCTTTTCTTTTTGAAGTGATGAAAATTCTAAAATCCTAAAATTTAACTCTGGTGATGTCTGTAAATATACTAAAAACCATTACATTGTACACTTTAAATAAGTGATGTGAATAGTATGTCAATTACATTCAGCACTGGTGGAGTTTTTAAAACACAGCCAGTAGGGGGCGGGGGTTTAGTTCAGCAGGCATAAGTGCCTGCTTGACAAACACAAGGTTGTGAGTTTGATCCCGGACACCAAAAAATAAAAAAATAAAAAATAAAATAAATTACAAAAACACAGCCAGCACTCCGGAGGCTAAAGCAGGAGGACTACAAGTCCTAATCGCACTTGGAATACTTAGTGAAACCTTGTCTCAAAATAACAAGGTGTAGGGATGTGTCAGTGTGAAACCTTGTCTCTGCATTCAATCCCCAGTACCAAAACAACAAAAACAGTCAGCCGACACGCTGTCCAATTCTGGGCTTAAGTAATTCTCTAGCTCAGCCTCCCGAGCATCTGGGACTACAGGCATGCATCACCTGGCTTCAATATACCTGGCTTCAATACTTCTTTTAAAAAATACCTCCCAGCTACCCCAGTTTACCAAATATCATGAGCCATATCTATTCATATCTGATGTAAACTTTTGATCAGATTTTCAACAACCATCCTTCAAAACTGCAACATAACTCACAAGAGACAACACTTTCCAGGTCTACTTCCAAAAGCAAACTTCAAGTCTTTTCATAGGAAAAAAAAAAAAGCCATATTTAGTAATATTTATATATGCTTCAAACAAATAGCGTGTAAAACCATGCTACCTTTTTTTGTCGGTGATTCTGGGGGTTGAACCTAAGCCTCACGTATGGTAGGAAAAACTCCACCACTGATCTACACCTCCAGCCCTTTTATTTTGAAATAGGTCTTGCTAAGTTGACCAGTCCAGCTTGAAACTGGCAATCCTACTGCCTCAGCCTCTGGAGCAACCAGGATTATAGGAAAAAGTCAGTAGTTTTTGGAATCAAGCTACCCTGCAGGACCCTCTACTATCCTTGGACCTATTTGTTTCTTTCCAGATGCCACGTGTAAGTTTTTATGATTTCATTTATTTCCAGCACATCCATTTCAATCGTCTCTTTTCTAACCCGAGTCTATTGTAGATTACTCCCCTTTCTAGTTCTACTCTTCACTGATCCCCGACTCCTCTTAGTTCCTGTAGCACAGATTGTTAGATTCCTACAATTTTAATCTCACACTATTTGTTCATTTCCTTGTTATTCCTTAAACATACAAGCTCTTCAGGGGAAAAAAAAATGTTCCTAATATCTTAGAGTACACAGCTTAGCATAATGTAGAACACAAAACATTCAACAAGATTTACTGCTGGGTGATGAAAAGGACAAAATTATGACCACTAAATTATTTTCTGGTTTTCTGAGTTAGTATTCAACCATTTCTGCTATATATTTCATTGCAAAGCCTCTGAAGAAACTAGTTTTAACTTGGTTATGCTGAAAATATATAGCTGCTAAGAAATAAAATCTGGTAAAACTTGCACTCTAATATCTCACCATAACAAAGGCTAAATAAGAAATTATTGTTGGGCATATGTTCGATCCCTGGTACCAAAAAAGAAATTATTATTTTTGCATAAAACATTATGGACAAAATAATGTCCATAGATTATGGACAAAATGGATGTAAGCAGTTTTATTTGTAGCACTTTATCATGCCAAATTATACCAGTTGTTTTCAAAGCTTTATTTTGGTAGCAGAACCTTTTTCTCTTTTTCAAATAAAAGGCTAAGTAAAATTTTATCACCCAGAAAAAAGCAGAGCTAATTTTGCTAACATAGAGGAAGCAGCCCGTACACTCTGTCTGTGTAAGTCCCGTCAAGCTGTCCATTCTTGCTCCCCTTCATCAGAGACACTAACCCCTTCTGATATGTTTGAGAACAAATGACTAATATCAATAAAATATAAAATTAAAACTTACCCATTTTTACTGAAAACTCTTAGCCATGCTTTGAGGTTTGGTCCTAACAAACATAAACAAGGTACAGTAGTAAAAGTGGACAAAATAACTGCAAATAAAAATGTTTCCAACACCAACCTAGAAAGAAAACACTTTATTAATTTTTAAAAACATATTAAAGCTACATGCACATTCTTTAATATATTTTGTTCTACTTTACTTTGAAAGGTTATACGCATCCCACAAAAGTGATTATAATTTTACTACTGAAATTCAAGTTTTAAATACAAATCTAGTAAATATCTATTGATTGATTTCAGAAATGTTGACAACCCTAAAGTACTAAGACTTCCACTGCAAGAAACCTAATCCTAACTAATTTTTTTTAATGGTCTCTAGAACTTTCTCTAAAGCCAGCGGTTCAACTTTTAACTTATTTTAGAACTACCTAGAGGGGCTAAATAGAAGTTTGGAAGGCTCTACCTCTAGCATTTCTGGTTGAGGTCTGAGAATTTGCATTTAATAAAATGTTGATGCTGTCAGGGCAGTGGTACATGCCTAAAATCTCAGTTATTCAGAAAGCTCAGACAGCAGGATCGTAAGTTAGCCAAGACAACACAGTTAAACCTTGTTAAAAGAAAGAAAGAGAAAGAAAGGAAGTTGATGCTGAAAACTTTTTCACTGTGAGGACCATTTTTTCATTCATTCTATTCTTAAGATGGATTGGATAGAACTATTATTTCCCACAACAAAGGCCTTGTCCTTTCTGTCTAGAAAAGACTAACCTGTTGGCTTAATATATGTATATACAATTATACACAAATATACATATCTAACTGTATGTAAGTGCATGCTCTGTGTGTGTGTGTGTGTGTGTGTGTGTGTGTATATATATATATATATATATATATATATATATATACTTCACTCCTTTTACCATGACCATTATAATAGTTAATAATATGCTAAATTATAATAGTTTCCCATGCTATAATAAGCAATTACATAAGAAATATACCTGGGGCCAGGGATATAGCTTCCTGGCAAGCATGAGGTCGTCAGTTCAATTCCCAACACACACACGCATGCACACACATACCCATACTACAAGGATTCACTTTCTTTTTTTTTTTTTTTTTTTGTCTTTTTCATTTTTATTGGTACCAGGGATCGAACTCACGACTGCCTGCTTGCAAGGCAGGTGCTTATGCCGCTGAGCTAAACCCCCAGCCCCAAGGATTCACTTTCTACTAACTTGAAATTGGTCAGTTTTTTAAAAAGTGTTAAGTCAAATTTTACCTATAAACATCTTAATTAACTATTTGAATACAGGGCTCTACAGACTTTCTTTAGGATCACATTTACTTCAGAATCACATTTACAAAGAATCATATGTTATTTATAACAGACTCACATATATCATGATAGTAAGCTCTCTCTGAGGTTCTAAAGTTACACATTGATTAACATAGTATAGTTTTGTCATCTTCCCTTCCTCTTCCCAGCATACAGCTGGGTGGCAGAAGGCGAGAAGCATTTAATAAATTAAATTATTCTACTGGAGTTTTTTTTGAAAGAATAACAGTGCTAAAGGAGAGTGATGACATTTCTATCCTACTCTGATGCATTAAACCCAGCACTGCTTTTCCATAATTGCCAAAAAGTTAGCAGTTTATTTAGTAAATGAGTATTTTAAAGTATAAAGTAAAAATTTCAAACTTACTCAATTAATGGTGCTCCATATAGAACAAAAATCACATGAAAGATGAAACAAGACACAAGAAAGTAGATACAGCATTTCAAAAATCTGGTTACCTGAAAGAAAAATCATTTGAAGACTGAAGAGAATGCCTGAAGGACAATACATTCTTCTACTTTATCTACAAATACAACCTATTCCCATATGTATTAAACAGTAGACTGTTCTCTGTTGGGGAGCCTCAAGTCAAATCACAGGGCTTATACACAGTCACACACAGCTCTCACTGTATCTGTAAAAAATCCTGAAAGGCAAATATCACCCACAGCTGTGTTCTACTGACATAAGCCACATGAGAATGAAAGAAAACTTCCATTCTATATGTACTGAGTCATTTCATTAACCAGTATTTATGAAATATTTATTACAAACAGAGTATTAAGATACAAAAAAGTCTTATCATGTAATGATAAAAAATGTCTGCAGAAAATAAAGGATTTTTTTAAATTTTTAAACTCCTAGAAAACTGCACTGGAAAAGTAAAATCTCAAAAATTTTCCAGATCACATTCAAGTTATTTATGTGGACCATATGAAAAAAAAGACCTGAATACTAGTAAGTTCATGGGGGACTTAGTAAATTTGGGTCTTAAGATAAAATTATAGGGGCTGGGGATTTAGCTCAGCGGCATAAGCGCCTGCCTTGCAAGCAGGCAGTTGTAAGTTCGATCCCTGGTACCGATAAAAACGAAAAAAGACAAAAAAAAAAAAAGATAAAATTATAAAACATATACTAAGCTTAAAAGCACAAAGCAGTAGCAGAGAGCTTATACACAGTATGAAATGTGAGGACTTTTAAATTTAAAATAATAGTCATGTATTACAGTACAGTGAATACTCCATAAAACTGATTCTAATAGCTGAAAAGTTTTAACTACTAAGTCAGGAAGGCCATGTTTAAAATAGGTTACCACAGTGATTAATTTTTCAGTTTCTGAAAAATTCAAACTATCTATCAGAAGTGTAAAAAATAAATTAAAATAAATGTCTTCCAAAATAACGTTTAAAGATAGATGGTCACATGTATTTATCTTCAATAATGACACAAAACAATGATTTTACAGGCTTATAGTACTATGCTATCCATGCAAAGAGTCATAATTGCATAATTAATGCATGGCAAGGATCAATCAAACACTGTGGGCCACCTCACAGCAAGTAACAGGCTATTGATTTGAAAAAAAGTCACATACCCCTTACATACTATAAATAACCTGGGGACTTGACTAATAGCTATTCTTTCGTTAAAAGAAACACTACCTGCACCCAAAAACTGGTTATTAAGAAGTAATCCTTACCTTATGTGACAATGAACTTCTTTTAGAAGATGCATTTGGCTTTGATACTAAATATAATACAAGGTTGATTGCAGTTACAAAAAGAGAACAGACGCACAACCAAGTCAAGTGTGTGTCCAACACTGAGAAATTCTCCACGAAGAATGATGGAATAAGGACACTTAGAATCACTGAAAATATGCAGAGAAAATGAGCATACAGGAGTGTCTTGATATCAGTTTCTTTCATGGTGTTTTTGAGGTTGGCTGTCTAAAGAAAAACAAAGAAAATAAAAGCACAGCACATAACAGTGACTTTCCGATTGTCCTTAAGTACTTAAATGTATAAAAATAAGCATCAACTAAAGTCTATTTTCTATAGTAAATGCATATTTCAAAAACATTCTGTTACATTAGAGTGTGGTACAAATATCTCTCAGAACCTAAAAAGGAAAATATTACTAATTTCTTAAATAGTTCTAACTAGTTTCTGCAAAAAGGTTAAGCTTTAGGAATAATTAAGTAGTTCGTTTTACTTTTTTTGGTCAAAATCACGAAGTGGAAATCAACTGCATGGCTTACAAACGGTCTGCCTAGTTGGAAACATAACCGATGCATTCTAGATGCACCGTGAGTATATCTTGGCTAAACTGTTGGTGTTTTTTCTTTCTTTCTTTCTTTTTTTTTTTTTGTCTTTTTTTGAGACAGGGTCTCGCTATGCAGTTCAGGCTGGCCTTGAGCTCACTTTGTAGCCCAGGCTGGTCTCGAACTCACAACGATCCTCCCACCTCAGCCTCCCGAGTGAGCCATCACACCCGGCTTGTTTTTTATTCTTAACATCAGTTTACATTCTCCACAAAATACCAAACACACACTTAACAATCAAATGGTGATAAGGGCAATAGACATTACGCAAAAATACGGGTTTCCAGTGTTCCAGAATTACCAAAATGAGATCGTCTGTTACAGGTACTAAATTCTAATCAAAAGTAGAACATCAATGGAAGGAGGAAAAAAACTGTCAATTACACATATTTAAATTACCTAACAGCGAACTTATACATTGTATTGACTAATGTTAAGTAATGACTTTATTAAAGTAATGGTTAATAGGCTGCACTGTGGTGCGACAGTACACACACAACCGGGGGAGGCACTGAGTCAAAGAAGAAAGAGTGAATCTACGCGCTGTCCCAACAACCTTCATTTAATTCACACTCTCATTTTTCAAAGGCAAATATTTTACCGATAAGGAAACAGGAGGAACAAGTTGGGAGACACACCCAAGGCCCCACGTGCGAAATGCTTTCAAAGTCTAGCCTCTTTAATCAAAAGATAGACTCCAAGGTCGGGAAGAGAACGGATGTAAAAAGGGACGAAGGGAAAGTTTCTCACAGATTCTGCACTCCCCATTTCAGGTCGAGTAGGGAAGTCTAGATCCATTCTCGCAAGAGAATGACAGGTGCAGTCATCACACAGAAACCTAACAGTAAGTTAGCGGCGCCCAAACTCAAAGTCTTGCTGCACAAAGCAAGTGAAGTGTGCGCGTCGGTCCTCAAGGGCAGAGAGCCACCGTCACCCGACGGCGTCGCGACCGGAGCTGGGCCAGGTCCACAGGCCCAGGAGCGGGAATCCGCCTTCGCGAGGCTGCAGACTCTAGACCCACTCGAGGTTGCTCGGGAACCCAACCACAGGCTCAGCTGGAGGACGGCGCGGAGATCAGCGGAGGGACACAACCCAAGAGCACACGTTTTGGAGCAAAGGGAAACTGGGAGTTAAGACAGCGAAACTCGGGTTCCAGGGAGGCTTCTTCAGGGCAGCCCCTGGGGTCACGCCCGAGGAGGGACGCTCCAGCGGCCGGGGTACTCGCGCATGCTGGAGAGCGCAGGCAACCGTCACTCCGGCCGTCGGTGGGCTGGCGTGCACCCACCGGAGGCGAGCCAGGTGCTAGGGGTTTCCAGTGAGGCTTACCTAACACTCCCGCCCGCCGCTGGGAAGGAGGAGTTACAGACTCCCACCATCAGGTGCGATGGGCTGCCTTGGCTTGAGCGCAGGCGCAGGCTCTGGGGCGGGGACCGACAGCCTCTCAGCCAATCACAGAAGGGGGAGGGCGGGCCTATAAAGCAGTCCTGCCCACCCGCCCGCGTTCATTCCTCCCGCAGCTTTCCAGGTGTGAGATAGGCGGGAACGGAAGACTCCGAGGCCGGAAGTGGGCTGACGTAGCCGGAAGGGGCGCTTTGGTCGCCTGGTGTGTTGATGTTTTCAAGCTGCCGGAGCTTCTGCGGCGGAGAGAACAGTCGGTGTAAGGATGGTGTGCGAAAAATGTGAGTTAAGACACCGTTTCTGTGGGAGGAGGCTGGGACTACTTAACTAGATCTTCTTGGGAACTTGGCCCTTTCTGGCTTTCCTTCAGGTCTCTGATTACAGCCTTTGTCCTCCCACCCTGTCCTATGGTCATTCTTGCCCCGCCCCAGTGACTATATAGATCTGTGTATTTTGTGTTCAGAATGGTCTCCGTTCTGTACCTCGTGTTCTGTTTTCTTGGCCTCCCCTAACTACAGACCTCAATTACAGCAGCCTCTTAACTTTCCCTCATTCAAATGAATTCTCGAAGTCATTTTGTTACCATCTAAAGTTGTCAGATACAAAGTTAATAGAAAATCTGGACGCTCACTTGAATTTTTCAGCACCATACGTAGTCCCATGCAATATATGAGGCTAGACTTCGTTTGCCCTTCCTTATTACTGTATAAATGCCTCGTCCTATGCAATGTTTAGTACATACTTGACTAAAAACGGTATTGGTTTCTGAAGTTTAAATTTAGGTGAGCATCCTGTATTTTAACTGGCAACGCTAAACCACCATCCCATCCAGTGGCTTGTAAGCTCCGGGCATGAATACCTTGAGCACTGGGGACAGGAGTGTGGGAAAAGGTCTTTTCTCCCTACAGTTAGCACCCAGTAAGTCAGTGCAAACTCGAAATTTCTAGAAAGTGTTTAATTTTTTAAACCTCACCAGCTATTTATATTATTTAAAACAGCTTTCATATCCCCAAGTCTTTTTCCTCCAGCTAAACATATCAGACTCTTCTGTAACAAGGTTTCAACTTCTCTTATCCTATTGTCTAGTGAACGTGATCCACTGGGACACAGACACCCATAAGTTCAATCAGAATTCTTATGTTAGGTAAAAGAAAGTGCATGAACAAACTACTTACTTTTTCTTGGCCTCTATTTTCTCATCTGAAAAAAATGAGAATAATACATAATTCGTGAAATTTTGTGGAGTTTAAATTAATTTAATGCAGATAATGTGTGGTATAAAAGTGCCTTAGTGTGTACTCAAAAACTGGTTATTTCTGTCTTATCCTTCCCCAATATTTGACCTTTGGGCTTAAACTCTACTCCATTATGTGTGGGGAAAAGTGCAACCAAAACCTCCCTCTTTATAGGCTATATGCCGTATACCATAGTCGTCCTATGTCAAGCTTTAAAAAAAACTAATGAAATAATTCATACCCCATATAATTCAGTTAAAAAGTACAGTTCAGCCAGGCGTGGTGGCACACTCCTGTAATCCCAGCACTTGGGAGGCTGAGGCAGGAAGATCATTGCAAGTTCGAGACCACCCTAGGCTAATAAAGTGAGCTCAAAGCCAGCCTGAACTGCATAGTGAGACCTTGTCTCAAAAAGACAAAAAAGAAAGAAAAGTACAATTTAGTGGTTTTGAAGTATTCACACGTGTTGTGCAACCCTGACCACAATCAATTTTAGAACATTTTCATCACTCAAAAGACACTGTATGCTTTTTTCATTGACACTCCTTAACTCTGCTCTATCCTTAAGCAGTTATTTTGGATTGTGTGTGTTTCTTTTTTTTTAAATTTTATTTAAAAGGAAAAAGAGAAAAAACAAAACAAAACAAAGCAGTGTAAGGGTACAAGTAATACAGAACTACAAAAAAAAACTAAGAAATCACCAGTTAATAGATTACATATTATCATCTTAGAGATAGTTGTTCAAATCACAGTATCAAAGCATACAAAGTGGACACTCAAACAGTGAGACTGCAAACAGTTGTGTTCAATGATCCAACCAAAAACATTTATATGGTCAGCTATTTAACACCCCTAAACACTCTTGCTGTTGTATCATTTAGAACTCTTTTTTTTTCCCTCTCTTTTTTACAACAAAATTTACACATTTTGGGTTTTATTACTCCTTAGTTCTTATTACTTTTTGGGGGGGGGAATAAAGTCAAATATGGCAAAACAAAGCTGTCAGTCAAAACCAAGGATAGACATAGCACATGATGTAAAACAGAGTACAAGGTTATCAACAATGGTTATCAACAATGTCTCTTGTTTCCTTAAAAAGAATTGTCTATCTCATTATATATTATAAAGTTGAACAAAACAGTAGAGAACAAGACCAATAAAACTTAAGCATTGTAAACATTACAGGACTTCCAAAGGAGACAATAGTCAAACCAGAATGGGCATCTTAGTGAATCTTAATTGCCTTCAAAGTAGTTGCCTATACCCTCAAACTTGATACTATCATACAGAATGGAACAGAGTCTAATCAGTCAAAACAAGATAGTGGGAGTATTACAGGACTTCAAAACAAGTTAATAGGAAATCAAAAAAGTTACTATTATATACCCTGCTAATTTTTAAAATTTTTCCCCTTAATTAAAAAAACATAAAAAATAACTAAATAATTTTTTAATGAATAAGGCAGAGATCGAGATAAAACAGGACATAACAATGTAACAATACAGGTCAAAGCATGACTGTTTCAGCAACCTAGTGCTTCACCACCAAATAACCCGACTTAATAGTAGTTAACCATAGTGTCTGTCTTTTTCCTTGAAATATTTGAATAAAACTTCATATACTATAGCTTCAAGTATTTCCATATCAAGAAGCCCAGAATAAAGCCTTTCTAATTAATGAGTGAAAACTTTATAAGGCTTCAAGGCCACAATAGGGGAATCATGATTACCACATATTTTTATATATTTGAATCATTACTTACATTAGGGAAACTTTGGTATTCATACATGCGAGATTGATTTATTTCACTTACGAGTATGGTCTCAAGCTGCGCCCATTTATTGATAAATATCTCGGATTGTGTGTGTTTCATTAAATGTACTTTAAATGTCTTTAGATTACAAATCTGCCGTGGTGTCTTTTAGGTTATTTAGTTCTTACATGTTTAAATTTGTAGCAGTCTTTTTTTTTTTTTTTAACAATTCTGTGCATTTTAACTTTAGAAGGCTAAGGGAAAGTCCCAGTGTACATAAAAATTTAGAGTACCCAAGATCCAGTATGATAATTGGTTCTGGAATATGATGTGTGTCATTAGTGGTTATTCCGTCTTCTACCTTTTACTGCTTTGTTCTTCTGAAAACCTAACCTTTATTTTTAATTTCCAATCTGTCATCTCTTTGTATTCACCCTATAAATAAGCCGAAATGTCTCAAGCATAATGCTGTCTGGGGCCACGACCTTAGTTCTCCCTTTCCCTGCATCATAAATTGCTTTAAAGATTTGGTTGTGTTTGTCACTTCCAAAAGTTCACCAGTGATCTCCTAATCACCAAGATCAGGGACTTTTCTTTTGGTTTTACTTTTTTCCTCTGAAGCTGTTTAACTATCTTGGAAGTGCTTGACTTCAGCACATCCGTACCAGTCACTTCCCTAAAGCATGTGCACACAGATTGGGTCATGCACAACTCCACCTTCTTCACATATCTAAGTTCCACCTATGGAACCCATTATGCAATCCTTTTAGAGAAATCAACGAACTTACATGTAATCTCCCTAAAATCTTTTTCTGGTTAACAATTATTTTTCTCTATACTTTGTATAGTGGTTTATATTATTATAGATGCTTAGTAAATGTTTATGAACAGCTTTATCAAATTTGTTTCAAGTATTAATGGTGAAAGCCTATTGTAAATCATCTTATTTTACAAATTGTACTGAAAGTTAACTATTGTGCCACTGTCTCACTTAATTTTCTGTCAATGCTGAGACAAAATACCCAACACTCAAAATTAAGGAAGGAAAGGTTTATTTAGCTCACAGTTTGTGGAGGTTTCAGTGCATAATCAGCTGGCTCCAAGGCAGGGCGGCACGGCACTGGACAATACTTCAGGCAGCAGCCAGCAAAAGCAGTCAGAGCAAAAGGAGGACAGAGCAAGCCTTGTTTCCTCCTTATATTGTACAGAGGCCCCTCCCCCAGCAGGGCAGGTATAGCACTCACAAAATCTCCTTGCCCTCCTCTTGCACAGAAAAAGGATATTTACAAAGCAAGAACCTTGGCATCCTGCTGAGTCTCTGAAACTTCTAAGCTTTTCAAGTTGACACAATGTAATAACCATAACAGCCACATTTGATATTTTGAGTCTCAGTTCACTGGCCCCTGCCCCAGCCTTAAGAAGCTTCTACTGCATTGTGACTGCTGATACCATTGTGAAGCTCAAGTATGAAATAATATATTTATTAACAAATAGTATTTACCTTTTTGCTGTCTTATTATAACAGGTGAAAAGAAACTTGGTACTGTTATTACTCCGGACACATGGAAAGATGGTGCAAGAAATACCACAGGTATTTTTTATTTTAGTAAATAGAAATTGAATTAGACACTTAGAATACTGTTTTAGCTTTTACATTTTTTGTAAAATGCATTGTTATGTGTTCAGTGTATTTCAGGTATTAAATACTAAAAAATATTGGATCCTCCAATAGTTTAATGTATTCTGCTTAGTTCTGTCATTTACATGTGTGGGTCCCTAACATAGTAGACACGAGGTAACAGAATTAATGGTTTTTAAGTGATGGTTGCGTCTTGACTTAGAGCTTAGTAATCTAATGTTTCCTCCTCACCTGATTTTTATGTTTTTAAATGAATCTAAACTGTTCTTACCTTCATTAACATTAAATACATAGAGAATTCTATGTTTTCAAAAGAAAGGAAAAGAATTACTTTCTATAAAGTATGCCACCAAGGTAAAGGTGTCTAGATTTGACAGTAGAGAAAAAATGGACCCATTCCTAAAGTATTAATTTGAATCTGAGAAATAAAGTTATTGCATTTTATAAAAATTATCATTTCCTTAATAATTGTTTTAAGTAATATCTCAATAACTTTGCTACTAAATGAAGATTTTAAAAATTTAGATATAAGGTATTCTATTGGTCAGCAATCAAGGTATGACCTTTAAGTAATTGCTAGATAGTAGATGTTACGTGTTAAACACAGAAGTAACTCACTAATATGTGTGTGTGTGTGTGTGTGTGTGTGTGTGTGTGTGTGTGTGTTTTGATATAGAAAGTGGTGGAAGAAAACTGAATGAAAATAAAGCCTTGACTTCAAAAAAAGCAAGGTAGGTATGAGCATCCGTTAGAACAATAGTAAATTCCCAGTGCTTTTTAAATATTTAAGGCTACTGTAAATCATTCTGTTGTGATAAAACACAGATTCAAGTGGTTCCGAGCACACGGAGGGAAGCTGCCTGTAACAACTTGCTGATTCACTCTGTTGTTCACTCTATCAACATATGAACATATTAATACTAAGTTTTTATATGATTTTTACCAGAAACCATGACTTTTATTTTACCTGTTTCTTAGTTATTCTACAAATCAGAGGCAGCAGAGAAATGTGAAAAGATCATACATAACATAAGTTTCAGAATCAGATTTAAATTGGAATCTAGATTCTGTCACTGTGAAGCCTAATTACTTTAAGCAAGTCAAACTGGTTTCTTAATCTTTGTGAACTTAATTTTTTCAGCAGAATGAGCAGTAAAAATGTCTCCTGTTCTAAAAGCAATTTTTGATGTCATGCTATCCTGTCTTAAGAATTGCATGAACCCCTCTAGCTCCCACCAATTTCCTTCTTTTCAGAAGTTAGGTAAAGCTTCAGCCAGACATTTTTTCAGTGTCCTTAAGTTCCATTCTCTCCTTCAGCCTCTCAAGTCATGCTTACAGCCCAGAAATGCTCTCGTTAGGATCATGAGTGACCTTTAAAAGTGATGGCCACATCTTTATTGCTCCTTCACCTCTTAGAAGCTAAGCCTTGTTGGCGGGCCTCTGTTCTCTCAGAGCCTTCCCACTGTCCCGGTTTCCTCCCAGCTCTGGGCATCCCTTCCCCGTCCAGTGGCTCAGGTCTCAGGCCTCCATTTTTATTTTCTATTTATAAATGCTCCTGAAGTATCTCTAGTTCATTGGCTTTAAATTGAAAGAACATGTTAGTAACCTCCAAGTATATAACACTGATCTGACTTCTCTGAGCTCTAAGCCTGTATCTGTTTGCTTACCTAACTTGTCATGTTTGATGTCTGAATGCAGCACCTTTTGACCTTCAGTCTTCTCATTAGAGTAAGTGGCACCGCCGTCCAGTCCAGTGACTCAAGGCTCGAAGCTACTAACTCTTCTCTTTCTCCCACTTCCCATATTCATCAGCAGTTTCTTTGAAGCTACCTTGGAAGTCTAATACGTACACCTGCTTCTGTCCATTTCGTTCTTATCACCTTGCTGTAAACCACCATTATTTCTTAGTTTATACAGAAACAATTTCTAGCCATTTCCTGCTTTTCCTCGTTTGTTATCTCATAGCAACCAGAATGGTATTTTTAAAAGGTTTTGTAGTTTCTTTTCTTCAAACCATGCAGTGGAGCTGGAACTGTATCTCTCTTGCCCAGAAGGAAAAGAATTACTTTCTTATAATCAAAATCTATGACAACAAGGTAAAGCTCTTGCCCCAGAGCATACCAGGCTTAGATTCAATCTCCAGCATCAGGAAAAACGTAAGTCAAACTAAAACCCTCCAAGGATTTTCTTTTTCCCATAGAATAGTCTAAGCCACAAGGCCTTCCATGAAGAACCTCTCCTTTCTGACGTACTGTACCACACTGTCTTCATTCATTGTGTACTGTCCTCATTAGAGGTGTGCAGCCCACTCCGGACTAAGAAGATTTGTGCTGACTGGCCCCTCCTACGGTGCTCCCTCAACATCACCTCTTCAAATAACAGTCCCTCACCAACATGAGAGCAAATCTTTTCTCTTTCCCCTTATCTCCATATTCTGTTTGAATTTTCTGTATAACACTTACTGTTATCTGCAAAAACTTTGCATTTTTATTAGGCTGTCCGTCCCCTCATGTATTGTCTATCTCTTCCTACTAGCCTATCAGTTTGGGGAGGTTAGGGACTTCACTAATATATTCATATTTGATGTTTAGAACAGTAACTGGCAGACTAGGCACTCAGATATTTGCTAAATGAATAAATACCTGTATGTGATATCATTTTGAGGATTATAAATAATAAAGTTTTTACTATATACAGTGCCTAGTACATAGTAGGTACTTAATAATGGATATAAAACAGCATGATATGTTATGGACTGACTGACTGATGTCTTCAAGCACCACTCAGTTTTATTAACTAAGTTATTATTTGTGAACAGATTGTACATTTTTAAGAACTTGCAATGTCTTTATGTTCCTAAACTTACTATGATATTATTTAAAAGTAGCCATTATTTTTGGATTTTCTAACTATCTCACTTTGGAAAGTATACTTCTATAATTCAATACATTCCATATATGTATTGAATCTACAATACATTATTTATGAGACACATTGTTAAGAAAAAAAAATTTTGCCAGTTAGTTGACTTTAGAGATTAAATTTTACATCTTGAATGATAAAATATGATTTTAAGAAAAAAGGAATCTTCAGACATACAGGCTCAAATAAACTTAGCTTATCAAAAAGGATAGTCTCTGTCTCCTGTTGTGGGGAACAAAGTGGAATTCTTTGGGTTTGGTCAAGTTAATCTTTGAAAATGAGCTGTTTCCTGTACCCTAAGAGAGGACAGCAACCCTTTGGAGTCTGTGAGAATATCACGAAGCTCCTTTTGTGGTTAGGGAAACACTTTTTGGAGGGGGGATCGGGAGGGAACTCACAAGCTTGCACTGCCCAGGAGGCGCTTCACTGCTGAGCTAGATCCCTGGCCCTCTAGGGGAGCAGTTTTAAATCAGAGTGTTACTACCAAGTCAGAGAGAAATCGTTCTTCTAAAGTTATTTGTCGTTCCAGTCACTACATGATGACATTTTTGGTTTAGAAACCCCTTTAGCCAAAAGGACTGTGCCAGTCCATTGAAAATGGCAGTTAAAAAGCCGGCAACCATTATAAGGTGCACACATCTTGCTTTGTTTTAAACTACGTAGTTGTGGATAGATTCAACCATCATTTGATATTGAGACACGAGATCTTTTTAGTGTGTCTACTGATGAGAGTTTTATGTCCTTTTCCTCATGTAATTTATAACCAGGCTGTATTTGTAATCTTTAGAGTGAAGCAAAAACTGACCATTGTAAAGTATGGAGTGCTTGGTTTTCCTCCTAGCTTTCAGCACTGTTCTTAGCCACACCTATCCAATCGCTTTGTTAATGGCTCACACCTACCTAGTCATCCTAAAGCAGTCACTTTCTGTGGACTCAGTCACCCTTTGCACTCATATTTCATCAGTTTTCCTAATATTTATATCACACAGTAACAAATGCAAGTGACACACGCAGGTTGGGGAATAAATACAGCTGACACTGCATAAGTAGAGCGCTCATAAGAAACAGCAAAGGCGTGTATGGTGTGGTGGACAGCAGCCAGCCCGCGAGAGCTGCCTGTCCACTGTGGAACTCAGAGGGAAGGGTGCGCACGGCTTAACTATAGGTGTCGCATACGTGGGCTTAAGAGCTTTCATTATAGTGTGCATTCTTCTTTCCTACAAATAATTTTCCAGATTCGATCCCTATGGAAAGAATAAATTCTCCACTTGCAGAATTTGTAAAAGTTCTGTGCACCAGCCGGGTTCTCATTACTGCCAGGGCTGTGCCTACAAAAAAGGTAAGTTTCTTTTAATGCCATTTTTCTACTGCTCGGTAACCTAACTTATTTGTTGCTGATTTAGATAACAGAAAAGTAATAGCCTTTCATAAAACTTGCTAGTATCATAAAACACTCTTTTTTCAAAATAGAACTTAAAACATGTTCATAATAAAAGTATATTTTTCTTTTTCTCATTTCTGATACTGTTTGATGAAACTTTTAAGTATCAGGATTGACATAAATAATCCAAACGTTTAATTCTAGATTTTGATTGTTTACATGTTTTCTTTTTTCAGGCATCTGTGCGATGTGTGGAAAAAAGGTTTTGGATACCAAAAACTACAAGCAAACGTCTGTCTAGATGTACTGATAAAGTTTCTGGCTTGTGTAATTTTACTTTCTGCTTTGAATTTTCAAGGCAAAATGTAGATGTTTAACTTGCAGAGTAATCTGTTTCAAGACAGGTGATTAAATTTAAAACAGGGCAATTGATCCTCATTCTTTCTTTCCTTTTTTTTTGAGACAGGGTCTTGCTACGTAGCTCAGGCTGGCCTTGAACTCACAGTGATACTCCTGCCTCAGCATCCCAAGTGCTACAAGCATTCCTCCTTTGCTCTTATGCTCTCAAAAGTTTTTCTTTTTCTTTTTCTTTTTTTTTTTTTTTTTTTTGACACAGGGTCTCACTATGCAGTTCAGGCTGGCCTTGAACTCACAGCAATCCTCCTGCCTCAGCCTCCCAACCGTTGAGATTACAGGCATGCACCTCCATGCCTAGCTCTCAGAAAATTCTGAATAACTACTCTTATTTTAAGTGGTTATTTTCCTTACAAGCATTTTATTGAAATAGAATAAAATGAATGAAATTTAATAAAAAGCATTCTAAGTTTTCTGTGTACTTTTAACATTTATATTATTCTTATCCCCTTCATTTACTTTCTTTGTAGATATTGAAAGAATGAGGAAATTGTTGATATTTTGTTGTGAACTGGGTATGTGGACTTAGGCTTCTTCCCTCGGATTCCCTTATTGGAGGACTAGTTCTTTGAATCAGCAGTCCCTTAGCTGCAGTTTCCTAGGATTGATGCTTAAGGCTGTCTCAGTGAATGGTCCCCTAGTAATTAGTCCAGGCCTAAATCAAAGACAAGTTGGATTTGTGATTTATTATAAATTTGTTTTGAAGCCAAAGTGGCAGTTCCTTTCCTTCATGTGTAAACAAGAACATGTATCCAGATAAATACACTGAATTTCAGAAAACGTATTTGAATTTAGATTGTCATGAAAGCCATGAGACCAACATTCAGCCATGCTCATGTGTAACAAAAAAGGGATCCTGTCTTTGAGAAATCTCTTTGAAATAGACAACTAACCTTTTTTTGGTACCTCCTCCCCATCCCTCAAGGAAATAAATAGAACAAAGCAAATGTATTGATTTTTTTTTTTTTAAACATGATGTAGACCGTAAAGGGACTACTCTGAGGTTTCAAATGAGAATTTTTCTTGTGCTACCTTCATAGTTAAAGACTTCTAAAACTTCTAACCTACTGTAGAAAACCGAAAATGCAGACTCTTTATTTCTAACTGCCGTATGTATGAATATGTGATACTATAAGATACATAGACTACAATGGATAATGGATAATAACGCGGTATAGATTTTACATTTTTATTGTTTTAAAATTGCTGTAATAGTTAGATTTTAACTGTACAATTTATCTACAAGGTTTTTCATATAGTGTTTCTAGGGTATATTATTATTTATGCCTATCTAGAAAGATTGCAAGGATAATGCAAAATATAATAAATAATATCTTTGAGGACAAAAGTATCGTCCCCTGCTTTTATTAATTTGAGGTGTTTAACTAAAATCATAACACAAGGAACTCAAAATAGGGCCTGTTAAGAAGACCCAGAGCCAATAAAAATTGGATTGGTTGACTTTGGGAAAGTACATTTCCTAGGGATCAGCTGGGACTGGATTTGCACATCTGACCTTTTACATGTGAACCTCAAGAAGCTTCCTTCCATGAGTGAGTTTTCTGGAAATATAAGTGTTTGCAGTCTTCATGTTTTCTAAGTAATAATATGACTGATAAATTGCGTAGAAGTTGCTACTAGGATGAGAAGGAAAATCCCCAAACAAAAATGAACATAAAGTACTTTTTACAAAGCAGATACAAAAACAGAAACTAACAAAATAAGATGTCAGAATTAAGGCAAACGTAACTTGTATTAAAGTAAATGTAAGAAATAATAAATGTAAAGTGATTTTTTAAAATCTCAGATTATATTAAAATACTAGAAGCATACCTAAGTTAGTTTTATATGTTCATTCATTAGCATATTTAACCACCAAAATGATAATTATATATGTGCATAGAAATTTGTGTGTACATATGTTGAATACTAGAAGTTTGTACTGTTTTTCTCTGGGAGAGACTTAATCCTTTCCATCCTATACCAAAGTCCTAATATTTTTGAACACTTAATTCTCCTACCTGGGAATGTAGAGATTATTAAGATTTTTTGGAATATATGTATGTATGTACATACATGCCTGTGTTTGTTTTGGGAATTTCAAGTAGAATAATGTATGCATTGTTCTGCACTTTGATTTCATTTTAAATGATTCATATGTTTGCTGTCATTTTCTCTCCTTTGATGATACATTTTTTGACCTATTGAAGAGTGTGTAGCAAACACTGTACTCTTTGCCATTTAATACTATGTGTTGTACTTCATAAGAACAGCATACTATTTTATCTAAGTATAGTTACCAAATTCAGCAATTTAACATTGTCACAGTAATACAGTCTATATTCTAATTTCATGTGTCCCATTGGTAACTTCAGCTATAGGACCCAGTCCAGAGTCGTATTGTCATCTGTTTCATCTGTAACAGGTCCTCATCCTTTCTGTATTTTTTTTTTTTTTTTTTTTTTTTGGTACCAGGAATCAAACTCACAACCTCGTACTTGCCAGACAGGCGCTGTGCTGAGCTATATCCCTGGCCTGTCTTTTGTTATATTGATATATTTGAACAGTATGGCCCAGCTGGGTTTTTACTGATGCTTTCTCTGATTAGATTGTACATTTCAAGTGAGAATACTGTCACATCCCCATGTTTCACACCCAAATGTACAGACTGTCCCTTTGCCCCTTATTTGTGATGTTAATTTTGATCACGTGGGTATGATGATGTCCTGTGACTGTATTTGTATACTCACTATTTTTCCCTTTACAAGTAGTGGGTAATTTGTGAGGAGGAATTTTGAGACCACGTTGGTTAATGTATCCCTCATCACACCTGTCCTTCCTGGATTTAGCATCCTTTGATCATTCTTATCTGAATAATTTCTACCAGAATGTTTGCAAAATGTCTCTTTCTAGATTGATTACTTGTTATCCTGTAAGGAAGAATTTTTCCTTTATCATCAGTTTAGAATGAACCCTTTTATTCTAAACTCTGAATGTTCATTACAGACATGATAGCTATTTTATGCCAAATACTTTTTAAGTTTGTGTTTCCTGAGAATAAGAATGTTTTCCCATATAACCATAGTGCAATTATCAAAATCATAATTTAACATTAGTTACAATACTATTACCTAATTTCTTCCCTGTGGCTGCCTTAGTCTTTTGTAGGAAAAAAAAGTGTGGTCTTGGATCCAGTCTGGGGTAATGACATTACATTAGTCATCATGTCTCTGGTTTCCTTTAATCTGAAACCGTTCTCAAGTCTTTCAAAAATGCCATGGCCACTAAGCCCATAGACCAGACATTTTATGGAATATCCCTAATCTGGGTTTTTCTAATGTTTCCTCTTAATTCGACTATGGTGCGTTTTTTTCAGGAATACCGCAGAAATGATACCTTTTCAGCACATCATATCATGGTATTATTCCAAAGATGGTGATTTTGTGGCATCTACTAGGTCTCTTACTGTGAATTTCTGGACTTTTTTCCTGTTGTATTAAGAAGCATCTTGTGGAAAGATACTTTTGAGACTGTAAGTATTTTGTTTCCCAACAAACGTTCATACACAAATTTTAATATACAGTGATATGTCTTGGCTGAATTGTTACTTATGTTTGCCAAATGCTGATTTTCCTATATTTTCTGTACTTACTCTACAGTAAAGAAAACCTTTCTCTCTTTCTCATTTATATTAATATAAACTCACAGATTGCTGTATTATTCAGTCTGTTACCATCATTTGTTTTGACATCAAATTATTCTAGATTTGGGGCTGGGGATTTAGCTCAGCGGCATAAGTGCCTGCCTCGCAAGCAGGCAGTTGTGAGTTCGATCCCTGGTGCCGACAAAAAGGAAAAAGACAAAAAAAAAAGTTATTCTAGATTTGATCACTGGGAGACCTTTCAAGCTGGCTGCTGGTCTTTTCGAAGTGTTCCTATTCCTGGAGCAACGGCTTGCTTTCCAGCACAGAATATTCCACATCTGTCTTGATTTGTGGGATTCTTTTGCCTCTTACCTCAGCCTGGAATCAGGTATTTCTCTATATATCCTTATCCTTAGAAATCAGCCATATTTCCTTAAATGGAGAGTAATGTATAGATGCCTAAGATCTGGGCCTCCTTGGTTGTCACTGCTTTTAGGCTCCATTGACAGCACCAGGGAACCTAAATATTAAAAATGACAGGTTTTACTGATACCTCTAATTCCAGGCCAGTCTTACAGGATTCTTTCCTTGGCTCTCTCCACACCATATTTATATCTTTTCCACAATGAAAAGCCCTTCCTCCAAATATGTCAGTATAGTTACTCATTGGTGGAACTCTGAAATTTTTACATTGAGTATGTATGTGTTTTTTAATTTTAATTTTTAAGTTAGAAAATATGGGTCGGGGAAAGTTAACATGCAGATGTCATTTATCCATCTGTTATTAAAGAAAAACAAAGCTGAGTGCTGTGTGCATATGCTGTCTCACACATCTAGCAAATTGTGTTAAGTACTTTTTTCAACTTGGCCAACATTTATTATACTTCTGCTTTGTTCTTATCCCTATTCAGACTACTGTTATTGGTTCCAAAATTTTTGTTCATAAAAATGACATACACCTCATCAAATAAATGTAAAACTGTAAAGTAAAGCGTAAGAAAAGGAACAGGGAAAATATAAGAAAGAACAGTAACTGAAAGGAGAGACCACTTCAAAAGTAATGGATTTTACCAAAAACAAAAAGGAACTGAAATAAAGTAGTACCAGGAGAATGGAAATCAAAGGACAGGTTTCAGAGAACTGGCAAAGGATTTGAACGGACTGAAGGGGCTGTGAGGTCTGAGACACCTTTTAACACGGTAATAGTAGGTCTCCACCAGGGGGCAGTGATGTTCCATTTTAGTTTTTAACTTGCCATCCTGGTAACATTTGTAGTTAGAGCTACTTCAAAGGTCAACTAGATGGACTTGAATTCACAACAGTGTTGTGAATAAGCCATCCAGAGAAACCACAAATGAACCAAAGATTAAAAACCTGGAAAATAGTTACTTATGTGCATATATACATACAGGAAATATATATGTTCACACATGTGCATACATAATTTTTAAATGTGTATGTGATTAAATTAGGAAAAAGGAATGACCAGAAACAAAGGGAAAGTACCAACTCAAAAGGTAAAGTAGCACCACACCCAGTGCTTAGGTTAAGAACTTCTGCTGGTCCTTCAAGATCAAAAGCCTGTTTTAAAAGGCGTCACAAATAGTAGCAGGAAAAAAAAATACATCCTAAGACATATGTGATAAATGCTTCAAGCTCCCAAGAAGACAAAAGTTTTAATATGTATGCTAATGTAGATTCAAAATACATAAAACAAAAAAATGGCAAAACTATTGGTAGTGAAAAATGTTATGTACTTCTTTGAGTAATTGCTAGAATAAGCAATCAAAAATAAAAAATTCAAAGAGAATTCAAGACTGCAGTTAACCAACTTTACCTAAAGGACATATATGAAATATTGCCCAATATTTGAATAATACTTTTTTTTTGGTACCAGGAATCAAACTCAGGACCTTGAACTTGCCAGGCAGGCGCTTATGCCACTGAGCTACATTCTTGGCCCAAGCCCATTCTTAAGCATGCAAGGAAATTATACAAAAAGTGATCGTGTACTAAAATATAAGACATCAGAAATTTGATACCATAAAGAAAAATTTATAACCACAAAAAATTAACCACAGTTAATAGTAAAATAATTTTAAAGATAATTTTTTAATAATTTTAAGGATTTTAAAGAAATCTGAAACATTTTCAATCATGACTGCACATCTGTAATCCCAGCACTCAGAGGAGGCTGGGCATGAAAATCACCTGGACTACATAGTTCAAGACAAGCCTGAACTCCACAGTGAGACCCTGACTCAAAAAAAAAAAAAATTTTTTTTTCAGGAAATTAGGAGATACAAGGGATCAAATGTTAATGAGCATGTTATTAAAACTTGTAGGATACAGCCAAAGTGGAATTTAGAGGGAAATGTAGTTTAAAATGCTTACATAGAAGAAGGAGAAAGGCTGACAATGAGCTTTCAAATTTAAGTCAGAAAAAACACCCAAAATGACTAGGATAAATTACTAAATACAAGAACAAAATAATTGTGTGAGAAATGCAATCAAAGAAATAGAATTCAATAAGACAAAAAGTTGGTTCATTGTAAAGACTAGTATTCTCAAGCTCCTGGCAAAACACAACAATGAAGAACCACTTGTAGGAATAAATAATGAAATAAATTGTAGATAGAAAAGATCAAAAAATATTGTAAACTATCTTATTCCAATCTTTTTGAAAATAAATGAATAGTTCATTT